AGCGTTGTCGCTGATTGCTGCTATGTGTAAGTTCTGAAATCATTACATGTGAGATTTCCCATTCAACTGACCGCCCCACCAGACGAAAAACGACAAGACTTGCTTCTTGGAGACATACAATTCCGCGTGGATTACTTTGCCGAGAGGCTGGACTCAATCAATATGCCTGTCGCCTGGCTCACCCATACCTCCTCGAGACAGAAGAAGCACCTATTGGACTTCCCCTTCATCTTCGAACCATCTGCCTTGGTGTCTTATTTCCGATCCATCAACTTCTCGAAGATGAGCCGAAGCTATGAGGAATCGAGCTCGCTTCAAACACGTATGAAGGCGATCGTTGCTCCTGGAGGCCTCATTACCAATCCCCATCACAAGCTTGTTTTGCAAGACCTTCTGAAGACAGCCTCCTCAAAGTATTTGATCCTCGAGATTAGTCGTAAGAACGTCATCAGGGATGCTTTCGATCAACTCTGGCGGCGAGAAGCAAGAGAGCTGCATAGACCGCTCAAGATCCATCTTGGCGAGGAAGGTGGCGAAGAGGGATTCGATTCGGGCGGAGTTCAACAGGAGTTCTTCCGCCTCGCTGTTGCTGAGTGCCTCAATCCCGATCATGGCGCTTTCACGGTCGACGATAGGACCCGCATGACCTGGTTCGTCCCGGGCTCCGTTGTACCAGCTTGGAAATTTGAGATCCTTGGTCTGTTGGTGTCATTGGCTGTCTATAACGGCCTGACGCTGCCCATCACATTTCCCAAGGCCCTTTACCGCAAGCTTCTGGGCGAGCCTGTGGATGAATTGCATCATATCGCCGACGGATGGCCAGACCTCGCGATGGGACTTACGACACTACTTGAATGGGACGAGAAACAGGGTCTTGTCGAAGACGTCTTCGCACGCACATACGAATTCTCCGTGTCCATGTTTGGACAGCCCATTTCTCGGGAGATGGATGGGAAGGCTAGCAGCTGGCCCCAGTTCGAGGCGACTGCTAAGACGTCGCTTGTGGACGGGAATCCCGAGGATGCTCCGCTCGTCACCAACGAGAACAGGAACGCGTACGTCAGCGACTACATCAAATACCTGACGGATGTCTCCGTTCGTCCGCAGTACGAAGCGTTCGAGCGTGGATTCCGAGCTTGCTTACATCCCAAGGCACTCGGGCTCCTGACTCCGCCACTCCTCCAATCACTCGTGGAGGGCGTCCAGGAGATTGACATTTCTGAACTGCGCCGATACACCAGATATGTCGGCTGGGACGCGACTCACCGCGGCGTCCGGGACTTCTGGTCGATTGTTAAGCGCTACGACGAGAAGATGAAGAGGCGGCTGCTGGAGTTCGTCACCGCGTCGGACCGTGTGCCCGTCGGTGGCATGAAGAATATGCAGTTCGTCGTGCAAAGAAACGGTGAAGAGGAGGGCGAGGGCGGACATTTGCCCACCGCGTACACGTGTTACGGTACGCTTTTGCTGCCAGAGTACAAAGATAAAGATGTCCTGAGAGAGAGGCTTTCCATGGCATTGGAGAACGCGCAAGGCTTTGGGTTTGCTTGAGCGAGCTTTCTTGGGGGCGCGAGGAGTTGGTTGTATGTTAGAATTAGCGGAACAAAAAATCATCTGGGCACGGAAGAGACATGGGGCTTTTCGTCGGGCTTGGGATCCTTGGCGCTCACTACTTGCATTGGGAAGAAGAATATTGAGGTTCTGCATCCCTGATTTTTCATGGTGTTCTCTTGGCTATGGTGACTTCATTATCGCGATTTCATGTGGTTTGATATGAGGACCAATTCCAGACCTCTCGGCTCTTCCTCGTCCATCGGAATCAACCCAGTAGCCATGGTATGATGAGAGACAAGACCGGGGGTTTTTCTGTCGAGTTGACCTGGTCGACACACAGCTGTAAGCACCTTGACTTTCCCATACCATAATTCCCAGGCTTTCAACACATACCCGCAATCCTCAACCAAGCTCAGAGAAACCCTGGTGTCCATGAAACTTATTTCCGTAAGGGGGTCCGTTAACCTAACCCGGGATGGCTGGTATCCTCCCAGGTTCACGAATGAATGGAACATCCCGTTTTCCTTGCCATAGACGCCATTTTCGTCCAGAGTGAGAGGGTATTTTGCTTTTCATTCGCACTGCCCTTACTGGACGGGAAGCCTCTTCTAAAGTGAACCGTGGGAAGTGCGAGGTTTGATGGACCAACGACCTCTATGGCTCAAAACTCACGACAACTCGCTCACTTTGGCCGTGCCGGGGACCCATCTCCGATGGCTTCAACAGTCAGAAACGTGACAGAACGAAGTCATTTTAGAACCCTGATTGCCCGGTCTTCGCATCATCCCGCGATAAAAATCCTATAAGAAAGAGCCTCTTTCCTATCATTACTGGTATCCTTTCTATTATACATCCCATTCTTCATTCCAATCACGCCCTCATTGAGTACTATCCAGTACAACATACACATTCTCATCTTGAGGAATTGCTATACCCATCTGCTATACCACACTCACCCCCAGCCACTTACACAAGGCACTGCCTTACAGCAGCCAGACTCTTAACCTTGACCTCAGATCAGAGTATCAAGAGATACAATGGAGTCCATTGGCAACATCGTCAACAAGTCCGGTCTGGAGACTGCCACCGCCACAGCCGCCATCACTTCACCAAGCGCGCCAGCTTCAACCGTGAACCTTCAGCAGCGCATCGCCAAACGTCGCCGCGACTGGACCCTCACTCTCACAGACGGCCCCGTCTCCTCTCCCGGTCCCAAGGCAAAGTACCGTAGATCTCGTAGCTGGAGCACCAGAATCGGCGTCGACGTCCCGCTTAACGCAGAGCGGCAGATTCCAGTCTTGTACGCGATTGCCATGACAAAGAGCAAGAGTAACATCACATCCTCGCCCTCCTACTCCTCCTCATCTTCATCTTCATCTGCTATCGAGGGTATCGTCAATGATGAATACCCTCCGGACGCCGAGGAGTACCGCATCTGCCCCGACACAGACTCACCTCGCTACAAGCACGAGTCTGATGTCGGCCTCTGGAGCGGGCCCCGTTCCTCGCCCGGCCCGAAGGTGAGGTACGCCCGGTCTCGCTCCTGGAGTTCCAGGCAGTCAGATAGCGGGTACTCCTCGGTGGAGGAGTGTGTCGTCGAGAGCGAGGGCGACTCTGATGACGGCTACACGCATTATACGTTCCTTTCTGGCGCGGACTATTTCGATAGTGAGCCCGGTAGTGACTGCTCCAAAGGTGATCATGATATCGCCATGATTGACGTGCCTCTCATTGGCGTTTCTGGGGATGGCGATATAATCATGGTTGACATCTCTCCCATGGATTTCCCTGGGGACGGCGATATCGTCATGGTCGACGCTTCTCCCATTGCCGCTTCTGGGGACGATGATGACGATGAGGACATCTTGATGGCCGACTATAGCGGAGACGACGACGTCTCAATGGCTGATTATGTCGAAGACGATGATGTCGAGATGTCTGACCACAGCGAGGACGTTGATGTCGAAATGGCCGAGTACGACGACGAGAATGTGGACGTCGTAGTGGCCGGCTATAGCGGAGGCATCGACTGCGACATCGAGATGTTCGACTATGTCGAAAACAGCGATGTTCACATGATCGACTATGTTGAAGACACCAGAACCAACGTCTTCGACTATAGAGAAGTTGTTGAAACCGACAGCTCCTCCGAGAGTGGCGACTCCGTCGATGACAGGTTCGTTGTATACAACAGCGAATACGAGGACGACTCCGAGGACTTAGACCTCGCTATGGGATACTACAGCGACGGCGACTCTTCCTCAGACGAGGGATACTACCCGGATCCCGACATCGCCATAGCAGACGACAGCGATGCCACCACCGTCACCATATGGTCGTTGGACGGCACCACGCTCATTCGGGACTCTCCAAACGGCTCGGCCAGGTACTCGCCTCCCGCGCTTTCTGATCGGCCCGAACCTGACCTGATTTCGGAGTTTACACTCACCCGCTGGGTCAACGGAGTGTCCGAAAGGATGATGTATGTCGACTTCGACTACTCGGGCACCGAGTATGATGAAGAGTTGCCCGTCGTGGAGCTTAGATTGCCCGAGAATGAGAAGGATCACTATGAGTGAACGATGCCGCATTGTCGTTGCGCTCCTCCCAGAGATTCTTGACCGCTTGAAACGGTCTTGAATGGGAGTAGTGGTGATCCGGCTCATGTTTGCAGAATCCAATGTTCGATAAGTAAGCATAGGATTAAGGGGCTTTGTCGAGGCCGCCGTCGGAGTTGAACATCACCATGGAGTCGATGGTGTTCACCATACTGCGACGCAAAAGGTTCACTTTCTGGATCGCTTACTGCCAAGCCGTTGAGATGGGTGTGATGTAGACTGACGCAAGATGATGATGACTGCATGGGAGAGATCGAGGCAGCGAGAATTTCATGGGCGGGTGTCATGAGCTGGTGTCATGGGCCGGTGTCGAACTCTGACTTCCACCACCCTTCATCACTACCTGGCAGGAACACATATTACACAACACCAATAGCCTTAGGCCACAGATATTGCGAGAGTCTAGAGGACGGTGTAGAACTAAAGGACATGAAGAACAGGGGATATTGCGATGTACTCAGAACTGCCGAGTTGAACACCGCCACTCTCGTCGACGGGCAGTACTAGAGAAGGCGAAGGACGAAGGATATGCATTGGGTTCGTCGCGAGCCTGAAAGATATTTCATCATCAGAGAGATGGCTCCACGGTGGTACGCAAATCCTCGTCAAGAGATGAACCAATGATTCCATTATAGCATAGGACACACAATTCTCTCTTTCTCATTAACTGACTCGCACCATGATGTGATATAACTACCTGGCTCCAATTCGTAGTATCTTCCATACGCACACCATATGCCATTATTGCGACCCGCTCAGAATCCTCCCTGTTAAGTTAAATCATATGCCCCCGACGGGTGATCTTGACTCATTAAACATCACATTCGCTCAGTATCTCGGACCCATGATAGCTTTCAGGAGCTTCTCATACGGTATGTCACCCACTTCAGGACCGTAGCGGTCAATCGCGACCTGGCAGAGATCGATAGCACCTTGCTCTAAATCTTCCAAAATCCTGTTTTCGTCTATGCGATCATTTGGCTTGGAAGTGTCGAGCAAACGATGAAAAGATGTTTGGTGTAAGTTTCTGATGTCCCACATCAATTTGAATCTTGCGATGAAAAGTTCTTCCGTCTTTTCCGAGGAGCCAGAGGGAGTAGGTTCAGTCTGTGTGCTATGGTCCATATTCGTCAATACCGGCCGTGGCGAATCGAGGCTGGCGTCGACTCTATCTGTATACTGTACTGGTACCATGGCACGGATTGGTGGAGCCTGGTCGACTCCTACCACCGACATCGTCGGAGGCGCATCCACACTAGACGACCCTCTGCCAATTGTACCTTGGGCGTGTCTCACAACATCAGTCTCTGCAGATTGCGCTTTGTTCACCGATGCAGAATCAACCGCATCTTTTACCTCTTGGTTGATACCACCATTCTCAATAGCTTCTGACGATGGCTGTTGTTCATGCCTGGTAGCTAGGCCTGGAGCCCGTGACAGTGCTCTGCGTTGGAAATGAGCAGACGAAATGGCTGGCAGCGGGATCGGTGATGTGGAAATCAACGTCGTCTGGGAAGAACACTTTTGCTTCTTGTAAGATGGATTGTCAATCATACCAGCTTCTTTTCTCTTGACGAAGTTGATCCTGGTCGTCTGAGCTCCGTTGCCTCGCTCCGCCGATCCTTGGACTTTAGCGGGTTCGATTTCCGATGTATGAGGTCTGAGGATTTTTCCCTCTTTAATCACACCCTGGGAGTCTTGGTTGGGCTCTGGAGTCCCTGAATGCGTGGTACCCATTTGCGTAATACTCATTTCAGGGGCCTCTTTATCTGCCCTACTTCCGACTGAGAATGGAAGCTGACGGCGGGGAGGAAGCATGTCTTGAATCTGGGTGCTAGAGCGAGGCCTTGTTGTTCGTTCGTCATACTTGGCGAAAGTGACTTCATCGGTTGATGGGCTGAGATTCCAATGATGGAAGTCTTGCGAAGCTGGCGGTGGGCGTACTGATGGCCGTCGTTGGAAAATCGTTGAAGGTGTAGAGACCGCGAACCTGTACTCTGTATTCGGCGGAGCTGTTTGCGATGCGTATTCATTTGGCATCTCTGTGAATGCAGTGCGAGATCGGCTGAAGGTGTAAGGTTTTTCAAATCCATTTGAAGACTGGTGAACAGACCCTGCGCGTTGACTGACGGACGTTGAAGGCCGGTACGTCTGCACAGCTACACTGCTGGCTCGAGGTATCGAGTGGCTTCCTTCCGAAGAAAATTGTGCCCCCGGAGGCGAACCCAGCCGACCTTGGTATTCTTGTCGCATCGCACTTGCATTATGCCTCGAGGAGTAGGGCTGGGTCGCAGCAGAAGTTTGAAAGTCGCCTGCAACCGAGGATGACCGAAATTGCTGCAGTGGAGTGGGCTGGCGACGAGATGATTGCATCGGTCTGGCCTGAAAGCCGAGACTTTGAAAAAGACCTAGTACTTGGTCTTTATCACTCTGGCTTTTGAATCTTAGACGGATCTGTTGATCGACCTACAAATGGTCAGCAGACATCCCCGGTACGAGCATAGAATGTGAACGTACGCTACGAAGGCTCTCTCTAATGACCAAGATATTGGCCCCGGGGCAGTAGCCCAGCATGTAGTCGGCGTCTCTTGGAATAGCTCCATCTCGACTTCCAAGACCGAGCTTGAGCTACATTCTGTCAATAAGCGCGTGCTGTCCAGACTATGAGGCGACTTACAGCCTGCGCCCCCTGTCTCGGCACAATGAGAACATGGTTTGGTTCTCTGTTGGCATTGCCTCGGGATCCCATAGCATCTGCGAGAAGTATCTCCTGTTTCAAGTTTAGGACGGCATTTTCGACGCTGGAGGTGCATAACCAGTCTTTCTCACGGTGGCGTCTCTCGGAGATTGTCGCATGGATCAGTGTGAACGTCCAGTTCTGGGGTTTCTGTACTTTGGGTGGCATGTTCGGGATACACAGAGCCGTGCTTCTGATGGTAATATGTGTTAAAAGTAGAACCTTCAAGTATACCTATAGCTCGAGAAAACGAGGTCGACCAAGTCATCGATACCACCAAACTGTGTAGTTAGTAACATGAGGCAGGGGTGTATAGCATTTCATTGGTAATAGGGTTCTTGGATGGATTGAGCAGAGCAAAGCAATGATCAACGAATACTCCATATGAGGGTTGAGTAGTGGGCTGGAGACAGTCACAGGCCAAATGAGGTTGAATGGTGGTTGCCCTGAAGAACAAATAGGAAGGAACCCTGACTCTGGAGAGTAGGCAAGTGACAGTCGGGGCAGGGGTCTAGCTTCTCTCCAGTCTTCACCCATGCCTCGAGCTGCAGATGGAAGGTGCAGCTCATGTGGACCCAATCCTAATCGGGATTTAAGTGGTACCTTTAGCGCAGGGACCACCAGATTGAACTCGCAGTCACGTGAAGATAAGCGCAGAGGTTACTAGGGATTTCTCAACGTCGCGTAAAGGCAAAACACGGTTGGTTGGTTGTCCCGGCGCATCACTACCGATCGCAGAGGGCCCTGAACTTGCGCAAGTGCACACTTCATCCCCACCCTCTTCCATTGGGAGTCGACAACGCGTTTTACAACACACATATTCAGGCAGTTCTTGTCGCAACACCTCGCGCAACCTTCTCCAACAACTTTGGTCCTGTAGAAGAACTCGAAGCTCTTCTGCGAGCCTCACACCGGGCTACGATCTCGAACCAGTGAACCCGACTTTGCTAGCAGGCTGCCCGTCAGTTTGCCTCACTCCGAACGTACACTTCCATCTGCGCGTCCACTAACAGGGAAACAGCAGCCTGCTCGATCGACCGACCCATCATGGCGCCCAAAGAAGCTGAGGTCGAGCTTCATGCTATCAGCCGAACCCCCGAGTATGAGGACTTCATGGCCAAGCTGAAGGCCTACCACCAGGAGCGGGGCACTGCTCTAGAGGCCGAGCCCAAGGTCGGACCGGTATATCTCGACCTCTACAAGACTTTCACCCACATCTGCGCGAATGGTGGCTATGATAAGGTGTCTGATGAGAAGCTGGCCTGGCGCCGGATGGCCGAGCAGCTCGGCATCCACTCGTCCAATGTTGCCTCAACTGCCTTCTCGTTGAAGGAGAAGTACTACAAAAACCTTGCTGCATACGAGATTAAATTCTTCCACGGCAAGGAACCTCCTCCAAAGGACATTTTGGAGGATGTCTCTGCTAAGGGTGGTGGTCTTTTGTCTCGAACCAGAGAGAACTTCCGTGGAGCGAAGCGCGACAGTGGCACGGCTGCTGACTCTGCCGCGGCTTCTGGCGATGATGGCACCCCTACACGAGAGCGCCCGACTCCAGATGCGGCACCAACGTCCAGCGTGAGAGCTTCTCGTGGCCTACGCGAGGCACCGCCCCAGAGAGTCATCTTTCAACCCGATACAGGCCCTGCTAGGCCGACTCGCCACGTCTCTGGCCAACAGCCGAGCCACCTCAACACTCCTACCCCAGGCGGCCATTCAGGTAGTCATCATGGAACACCGCAACAGGTTCAGCACACTCCCGTGCCTCTTCCTCACCAACCAAGAGCTCCACCGCGTGGACCGAGCGGCAGCTATAATCCGCCCAACCCAGACAACACGTCGGCATCAGTTGAATCTTACCTTCCCCGCTCGCTTCAGCCACCGAACCAGCAGCACGTTCTCCCCATGCGCCCTGTCGATACACCAAGCAATAATCCGGCCGAATTTGCTCGCCGCCGACATGTAGCTCGCTCCCTCCTGGAGCCTCCTCGCCGCAGTGGACCCTATCCTGGAGGTAAAGACATCCTCACTCTCTCGTCAAAGTGTATCAAGCCGTTAACTTGTGTTCAGTTGGATTCGAAGGACCAAATATCTACATTCGCTGTCTGATGGCTTTGCGCTCTGCCATCTTTGAAGAGCAGCAGTTCGCGCTCTACCATTTGGTCAAGATCAGTTATGAACGCCACGACAAGTTCAAATTCGAAGGCTTCCCCGGCCTCAGCGAAGGTCTCGTCGAAAAGGTTCTGGAGATTGGCAGCATTTTCTATGATGTCAAGTGGAAGATCTCCTGGGTTTCGCAAAACGCCGCCGACAATTTCGACACCCTCGATGGCAATGAAGGAACCGAGGACATTCTGGAACGTATCGACAGTTTGGAGCCAAAGGAAGTCAACGAACTCATTGTGCCTGAGCACCTATCTGATCAGATGGTCCTCGTCAATGAGGCTGCTTTGACTCTCAGGAACATGTCACAGCTCCGTGAGAATGCTGCACACTTGGCTGAGTTTTTGCCGATCAAAGACCTGATTTGCATTGTCTTGAGTCTCCCCAAGCACGAGTGGTTGGTTGAGTTGAAGCACCAAATGTTGGACATTGCAGAGGCTTTGACACCCTACTTGGAGATTGACTCTCGCGATCCCCTCTACAAGGTCCTCATGAAGCAACTGAAGGGCTCCGACGATCGGGGTATCATTCTCACGGCTCTTCGAGCACTTGGTCGTATCTCGATGAATCTTGAAGCCACCAACAGGCTGGACAAGGTTCCTACGGCTATCTTGACCAAGATTAGCGAGCTGATGCTTCTGAATGACGACGAGCTCAAGGATGCTTGCCTCGACTTCCTCTACCAGTACACTGCGGTTGTCGGCAACGTGGACAATTTGGTCAAGTCTCTTAACTGCGAGCACCTGATCCATCATCTTGTTCGTCTGCTTTCGCACAATGCTAGACGATACCAGGTCGAAGAGGTTCTGAAGCCTGCGCCGAAACCGGCCACCAGCAACGACCCGGCCGCCATGCCTGAAGACCTGTTACAGGATCTATTGAAGCTAGAAGAGCCGGAGAGATGCAACCAGTGGGTCAAGTGCTTCTTCGAGGAAGTCAACGACTCTTTTGTCACCCAAATCGCAGCTTGGCAGGCGTACCAGAATGCCTTCAAGGCCGCTCTGCAGGCCATTGACCAGCCTCTCATCACTCCGGCAGACTTCATCAGAAACAGCTGTGCGGCGTATAAGAGCTCCAAGGCTGAAGTGTGGGCTGGCACTGGAAATCCCGGCCAGGTTCAGCAGAAGTTCATTATCCGCGGAATCCAGTGTCGACTTCGACCTGTGGGCCTAGACGGCCGGGTCTTTGTCCGTTGTCTATGGGACTCGGCTTCTGGTCGACCCAACGAAAAGTGCGGTCACTTTTTCGGAACCAAGGAGACCATGTGGAAGCATGTCGTTACTACCCATCTCAAGTGGGTTCGGAATGATAAGGGTGGTTTCGACAACAAGGAGGAAGAGGTGAGATGCCAGTGGGCTGACTGCACCAAGTACAAGAAGCCTACGAAGATGAAGCTCGCCCTCATGGGCCACCACCTTCAAACCCACTGCTGCCAGAGCTTCAACGGCATCGCCATCAACGAGAAGAAGGCGCAAGCAGGACCCCAGCCTAGTGACAGTCTTGTGGTTCACTTTGAAGAGACTGCCACGGCTCCCGACGAGCAAAACCCCGCCGCTCCTCCTCAAGCAGCCGGCATCCCTCTCAGCGCGGTGCTGATTCTTCGCAATATTGCCCGCAATGTGGTCAAGACAAGTGCTCAGGAGGATCTGCTCAAGCAGCATGAGCTTGGAGGTGAGGCTGGTGGCTGGAACGAGCGCCTGTTCCGCAACGTTCTTCCCCGTCTCTACGAGATTATGACCGAGAATAAGGTTCTAGTAAGTTTTCTCAGCTGCTACTTATCCCCATTATGGCTACTGACGCGGAATCTCACAGCGGTCTCACGTTTTCTCCCTCATCGAATTCGCCGAGTCGGAAAGAGATTTGTAGGCGCATTCCAACAGCCTGCCTACTTACGATGCGCCATGCGTGGTGTGACGTTGCAGAGACCTGACTGGGCAGATGCTCTGGGTCCAGTCTGGCGACAAGGGGCTAATTTGGCCTTGATACACGACCGTGGACACCATGAGACTGTAAAAGGTCGAGGAGAACTGCGGCAGATGGCATCGTGTCCCGGACTAGAGAGCAAGCACAAAATGTGGGAAAACGTGTGATAAAAACTGTACTTTTTTTGGGATGGCAAATACCCAGGCGTTGAGGAGGAACGGCCATGAGAATTAGCAAGCAAGATAACGACTTTGTTTTCTTCCCCCCAAGCTGTAGAATAGAATCAATTGCGATCAAGGAAACGCCTCTGGAAATCACTATGAGGATTGTGTGTTATCGTTCTTCTTCAACAAGGCCTTTTTGCTGTGATCAGCCCCAAAATGCACGGTCTCTCATTCGGAGTTGAATCCGGATGACGGGAGTGTGGATTCGCTTGGTTTCCCAGGTCGGTCCCCTCCGTTTTTTTTAGCTCCACGATGCTTGCTTGCCTGCTTGCCTGCTAACCCCCCAGGACTTTTCGGAAGTATCGTGAGTGTGGAGCCCCCCCGAACGAGCACACCATCAATCAGCCAAGAACCTGTGCGTTTTCCTTCCCGCTGTGGAGACGGGGGGCCGACCAACTCAAATTCAACACGTCGTGGAAAGTTTGAGGTCCACCTCACGATAAGGCTGATTTGTTTCTCTCCCGTCGGCATTTGCCCCCCCAAGGTAAGGTAGTGTTGCTAGCTCCATCCCTGGAAGAAGGGGAAAGTCCCACGATCGTTGAGTCTTCCGCGATGATCGTCGGTACAGCTGTCATTTGTCTTTTCTAACGCCAAAATGACATGAGATTACTGGTTCGGTGTGGAAAATGGCTCGGGCCGAAAGATGATCTCTTCGCCCTCCCCCCCCCCCCCTCTCCGCCTTTTCCTGATAATTGGAAACCATGTAAGTGAAGCTGCGATGGCAACATTCCAGGCCTTGGCATCAAGTCATAAGACAACCTTCCAAAGGGGCCATTCAATCATTGCAACTGCGACCATGACACAAGACCTCGAGACCGAGTGTCACCTACAATGTCAACAGCATAACCTCTCTGGAATGGTGGGATAGCAGCCTCACTTCCCCATATTCCCATAAAATCACTAAGATTCACAAAGGCCACCGTCATATTGCATTCCACAAGGCTCAAACAAGAAAAGTGACGTAACACAAAAGACGTGTCTTTTCTCTTTGGATTCTATCCTGCGAAACTTCTTTGTCTGATCTGTCCTGTCTACCGGGGAATCCCAGAGTCCAATCCCCAAAAATCATCTTTCTGTCCGTCCCACCCTATCCTCTTTTTGCTAGTCTGGTTGCCCAAAGCCACCGAGGGGGAAACACCCAAAACCATTGGAAAAAAAAGAACCTCTAGTCCAAATCCCCATTTCTTTTGGTTTGTTCCTGTTGACTCCTGAAACTACCTTGCCTGCTTTGAGAACAAACACTTGCGCGAGAGGGAAATGATGACTGACAGACGAAAGTCAAGAGGGCTGAATGGGTGCTGTGCGACCCTTGGACCACTGGGGGGTATAGTCCCGGAAGACTTTTGTCGGATCGGTAAAAGGAAAAAAAAAAGCAATGACACTAAGAAATCGGCACGAAGTCGCCGTAGTGTAGGCGACCATGTCGGAGCAATGATGCTGGTTCCACTGGTATCACGTCTGCCCATGGCAAATTTACCGTCTGTGTGGACCAGCGATGCTCTTCATCGTAGCTGCATGACGGGACGCAGCCCGCAAGCTCAAGACTCGCCAGGTACATGCCAGACCTACCCTAAGGCAACGCAACAAAGCAAAGCCCGGGGAATGGCCGCATTGATGTACGGACTTAGTAGCAAGTGTAACCACCATCGATGATGACGTTGGAGCCAGTCATGAAGCTGGAGGCATCAGAAGCCAGGAAGACGCAGAGACCGTTAAGGTCGTCGACAGCACCAAGGCGGTCCTGGGGAGTCAGGGACTTCCAGATCTTCTTCTGGGCGTCAAGGGCAGGGACTCGGTTGAGGGCAGTGTCCATGTAGCCGGGGGAAATGCAGTTGACGCGAATGTTGTACTTGGCCCACTCAGCAGCAAGGGACTTGCCAAACTGAATGACACCAGCCTTGGAGGCGTTGTAGCAGGACTGCTCCTGGGGGTAGTTGACAATGCTGCCAGACATGGAGGCGACCAGGATGATGGAGCCAGGCTTGCCAGCCTTCATCATGGCGCGACCAACAGCCTGGGACATGAGGAAAGAACCAGTCAGGTTGATGTCGATAAGACGGCGGAACATGGCGGGGTCGTAAGTCTCGGCCTTGATGTTGGAGCTGTTCAAAAGAAGAAGTGTTAGTGGGTCTCGCTAAGCGACAAGGGGCGAATGCTCAGGTGCTATGCGTTTTGTGCACGCTGCATTATGGGGATTATGACGTACTCAGCGATACCGGCAGAGTTGACCAGAACATCAGGAGCGCCGTAGAGCTCAACCACGGAGTCGACTGCAGCGTTAATGGCAGCGCCGTCACGGACATCCACCTTAAAGAAGGTGACGGGCAAGCCAGTCTTCTGGTGCAGCTCGGCAGCAGCCTCGTCACCCAACTCCTGGTTGGCATCGAAGATGACCAGGGCCTTGGCACCAGCCTCAGCGCAGGCACGAGCCATGTAGTTACCCAGACCACGGGCACCACTGTGAACAGGAAGTTAGTCGTGATGTTGTTTGACAGCTCTTGTTTTCTTAGGGCAAAAGAATCAATTGAAGCAATGATCTCGCAATTGACGACAATTGAAGGGGAGAAACGTACCCAGTGACCACAATGGTCTTGCCCATGACAGAGAGCTTCTGCATCATGGGAGGCATGGAGTCGAAGGTCTTACGGGTGAGGGGGACGACATCGTCATTCTCAGGGCCGGGAACCGGGGACTCGGTGGGAGGGCGAGAGTCGTGCTCGCGGACGGGAATGGAGAAGTGGTCGGATTGACCAGTGCCCTTAGCATCGGGAGCGTAGACAGAGACAGGAACCTCCTTCTCGCTAACAACGTCGCTCTTGAAGGCGCGAGCAGAGACGGAGAAGGGACGGGCAGCCTGGCTGCGGATGGCGACGCGGGGAGCGAAGCGGGTGGTAAGACGGAAGGCAGAGCGAGCGGCGGCCATTTTTGCGATCGGTCAGGTGGTGATGAGTAGGATACGAGGTAGGATTGTTTATGGTAGGGAGGAGGGAAAGAGTTGGTCAACGCGAGAAAGGTCTTGACCGGTGATGAAGGTGCGAAGATGGAGGAGAGTCGCAGAGATTCGCAGAAGTCGAGCTTGATGGGAAGAAAAACAATGATGGAATGCGAATGTGGGTGGGAAAAAAAAAGTTGGACGAGCAAGCGAGTGGAAGGAAGTAGGTGTCCAAGTTGATATAGGTAGGTCCAAAGGGGGGAAAGGGAAGGTGTGGCCCGTGTAAGCTACCTAGGGTAAGGAAGGAAGGGACCGACAGTCGAGACGGTCCAAGTGAGGTAAGCTTGGGAAGGTACAGTACGGTATTCGTAGCGTAAGAAAAGGTAGCTGAAGTGGAGGTACCTTGTGTTCGCCGACGCAGGATGATGTGAGGCAGAACGAAGGGTTGGTGGTTTATTGTGCGTGCCTCACCTTAAAACGTTGATCACCCAGCTACCTTGCCTTACGCTGAGCTGAAGTGGAGGAGAGCTGTCCGTATCGGTACCGTCACTAAGGTAGCTTCGTACCTTCCTAGTGTTGCAAGTGATGGACGTGGGGATTCTGAGCGTGGCGTGCGGCGATTGCGGAACCGTTCTAGTGCGCGCCAGGGGTCCCAGTTTAAAATAAAATAAATAAAACAAATATCTAATCACTCCATCCATGAGAAATTCCTGGTGCTGGAGCTCATGTGGGCGTCGACGCGGTGAATGGCATTGTTTCGGCCAGTCGGGATGGCGATGCTGGCTGGGCGAGACGGGCAATTGGGTGACCTGGGCACACCCACTTCCAACATGACTGCGGCTCTACTCTGTTAAGAGACTGCAGATGCTGCATACAGGGGTTGTGGCCACGGGGGTTCTCTCGCTCGGGATTGGGGGCAACAAGATGCAGAGAACACCACCTCACACCACGCGCTTGGGCGACCACGAAGCGGGAAGCACTTGGATTGGCCTTGCCTCGCCAGCTCGCGGGATGAATCCGAACGCTACAGATCCGGCGAGCGTCACCTTACGCTTGGCAGGAGACGGAAGGTTTCGAAGCATTCGAAACAGCGGTGATTGTGAGTAGGTAGGTACTCCGTCAACCTGTATCCGCATACGAAGTACTACTTGAGGCTTGATAGAAATGGCAGGGCGATGCGACTGAAAGGGGTCCCGCCCTTTCCCAGCGTCCCTACCTGGTTCCTTGAGGCCAGTTTCCATGAGCGTGTCAGTTTTCAGGACACCTCTCAGCGTCCTAATGGCAAGAGCGGCCCCCATGGTGACCCTAGCAAGGTGTTTGTTTGGCAATCTGGCCGTACTTTTGCACCGAACGGCAGCACCAATACCTTTGGGTTCAGCATCCCATGGAAATCTGGTGTGGACGGGAGTGTGGTGTGGAAGCTGGGATGGTCGACGCTAGCAATGAGGTGTGGAGTGCAGCTTGCAGGCCTGGTGGGTGGCGGCTACTCCGTCCTGCACCTTGCCCGGCTTCCTGTCCGTCAAGCCATCCGGGATGTCTTAGCGTAGAGTACCCCCATGTGAATCCACTCTACCGTAAAATGGGGCCAAGTTGAGAGATCCTGGATATCTACTGTAGCGTTTGAAAAGGTGCAAATACGTCACCGCTGCTTGTTTGACCCGCCGCACGTCCGCCGCCTCACACCCGCCGCCACAACTCAAAGAGCAGACGAGACGAAAGATCAGAATTGGTTGAGTCTGTCGAGCTCATGAGCTTGCTCATGGTCCCTGAGTCTTGACAATGAGGCTATCAACATACTGCATGAATGTCGGGCCACGGTGACAGCGCATCCGACTGCACCTTGCCAGTCCGATGGGTCTAGATGGGATGAAAGTCGCCGCTGTTGTTATCTTTGCGATGAAAGGCAAGCGGAAAAAGAAGAGAGAATTCCAAAGCTTAAGTCTAAGTCGCTTTGCCGTTGCTTAATGTGTGTACTGAAGATAAGGCTATGATACCAAGGTCACCAGCACCGCAAGCGCATTCCGTAAGTTTAGGTATGGAGGGGAACTGCGTCTCGGGCGTCATTTCCTAGGCCATGGTGTTGGAAGATTTAGAACAACGACATGTCGCGCTGCAACAATTATATGGGGACCCTGCTTGGTGACAGCAACTCTCCGACTGAGCCGACAGTGCTGAAAATTGCTCTCTTCGTCTTGTCATCTCATATGGGAATTGGTTCCCAAGCCATGCCCTCTGTCAGGTATTGTGTGTCGGATTCCGATTCTTACAGAGTTGTGTCCCCGTATTCGATGGTCGATGAGCCCCCCTCCATTATTTCAGTCTCATCCGGACGAGTCTCCAACATCTGTCAGCTTCAGTCGTCAACTCTGTAGGCTGACCGGTGCACTTTTGCATCATAACCATTGTCTACATGTCAGAAGGACCCACAACGGCCACTTTTAGCTGTAACTCCACAGATAATGACGGGCTTTGCGGACCCCTATTTCTTACGGATCTGAGTTGATGCAGCAGGTGTGACGATTCAGGATTACTCCAGTCTGCCAAACTCTCCATTTTCCCGCCTAACAAGGTACCAACGGCGCGAAAGCTACGCAACGGCTTAGGTGGCAAATACTCGTGTGTCGATCACTGCTTCGCTTGTCCTAAGGACTTTGTTCTGACTAGCCTGCGGGAATGAACTGACGCTATGATGCTGACAATGGAGGTTGAGTCGCTCCAGATCGTTTCTGAGAGCATGTTCTTGAGTCTTTGGGCTGGAAAAGAGACTTGCGCTGCAACTTGCCTCTATCTCGAAGAGCATGACGTTGCGTTGCCGCCTTCTAATCGTTTAGACAGCTCGCCATCCAGCTTAATTCCGGCAACGAGCTCAGACCAACAAAGTGTTCCCTGATGATTGAAGCTATGTGTCGGGTCGCAACTTCGGTGCGGGCCGAGTTTCTCAGCCAGTTGGCTTTAAATAAATGTTCTCCATACTCGTAGTCGTAAAGGCTCGTCGTTCAAAGGCGCCACAATGACTTGCTTCGCGACTCGGTGCAGTGTCATGCAGGAACGACAATTGGCTCGACCCCCAGCCTGTAGTCTCATGAGCGCGTGTCTGAGATGCAATGCAAGCTTGCAAAGGTCTCAGATGTTGTCCGCCTCCGATCTCGCTCCGCACGAAGGCTTCTTGGTTTTGATGAGCGTGTCTTTGAATACCTGGACCGTGTCCACGAAGCTAGCGACGCAAGACTGCGGAATGGCTGTAAGTCAATGGTCAGCTGAATCGAAAAAAATTGATCATATCATGGCGTCTGGGGAACCTGGGGATGCGCGCATGTACAATCTCGTTTTCCGTCATCTTTCATCTTCCTGCCAAGCGTCAATTGTTCCTCTACCCCGTTCAGAGTTTTGCAAGCTGGCAAACGGACTAGATTGTCACTCCCAAGTGCATAAAAAGGTAGAGGTATGCGTTGCAAGTTTGTCGCAAATCTGACCTGTATAAATAGATGGCCGGCCTTTGGGGTATACACAGCAGCGACGGTGCGAGACGTCGAGTTGCCCGTTCAAGAGCCAGTTCTCGAGCCTGGTGAGAGCCCAACCGCTTGCCCATGTCTGAGTTGACAGTTAATCTGTATCCTTGTGGACTGGCAAGACTAGGAATCCGTATCACGGTTTCGACTCTAAAGTCTTGTTCCCAAACTAAACGGCGCGTCTCATCCATACAGCGAAAAACGTGGGACAGAGCAGTATCCGGTGTTGCTAGGGTGTCTGCGGCAGGGGTAGCTCTGGTAGTCTTCCCTTAGATTTGGCATTCTCGAATAGCGCCCTCACCGTCGTGTTCCGCTTGTGCCCCGGCCGACTAACAGGGAAGCTTTGGCATTCTGGCACATTGGTTCTCAAGAGCCTCCAGGGCGGTCTGAGTATAGCCCAAAGGCTCGTCTGTGCGCCGGATACCGTCCCGTCACCGTCAGGAACCACTATTGCCTTGAGCCTGTTGGGTGCCAGACGCTGTGCTGCTGGTCTAAATTTGGTGCGAGTGCTCCATTCTTCCTGGAAGCTACAATCGTCTCAGCGTAGTCGGCCGGCGCCGGTAGCAAGGGTTGACAGCAGAAGATCCCTAATTGAGGCTGCATCCCAGCCTCGGGCGATTTCCCACCTGTGTCGTGATGTGCTTCGTACTGAAGCGGCTGTGGGGTTTGATATTGGATTTTCTATTATTGCTTCGTTCTCCGTAAGTTCTCCTTAAAGGTGCCAAGATGACCGTGGGAAATGGACGTTGCGCCGTCAGGCAGTAGGTGCTTGTAGGTACCGTTGTTGGTTCGCCCTGTGTAGCTTGATTCGTCACTGGCCAATCTTCCCGATGGTTGGTTTTCTGTGGTGGTTTGCTGTCACGGAGCTGTTGACGAGGGCGTGTTAGCGTTCCATACTGAGCTACCAACAGGGGCAATGTGGTTCTAGCTGGCATATTAAGACAGAGCGCCGCGGATCCTGTTCCTGTGCCGTCCCGGCAAGGCGGGAGGAACAGTCTAGGCTCTCTAGAGTATCGGTAGACTAGTGGTGGACGTAGAGAAAGGGGAGGTTCTCGTCGTGGGAATGTTTGGGGGACGTGGGCGGGAAAAGGAGTTAGCTGCGCCTCGCCGAAGCCCTCTCTGGTACCATGTCACCATGTCTCTGCCAGGCATATTAGAGAGGATCTCGGGGAAGGTGCTAAGCTCTGGAAGTGGCATGCTGTGACTGGGGTGTCTCATCAAAAAAATTGGTCAGATGATGGACAAGATTTTCAAGGAGCTGGGCATCCGTAACCCGTAGGTCGGCTCGGTTCAAGCATCCCTGGAAAGAGCGAGGAGGGCAAGTGCAGACAGGTCCGAAGTAGCTCTCACTTTCTTTTCTCAAAGACGGAACTGAAAGCGTGCAATGACTGTCGCCTGCCGGGGCACTGATACGAGTTGAGCAAGAGTCGTGGGGGGTTCGTTTGCCAAAAAGGAAGCAACGCCTGAGTTACCTAATAAGCACCTTGGCGGTTCAGGTTGAGGAGGGAAGCCACGTAAAAGTCGAAAGCACTTGCTACCCTGATGTTTCCCAGCATTTTTCCTTTCGGCTTTCTGTCCTCTCTTTTTCAGACCTCAGAAATGCCACTTGAATTTTGCCTATTTTTTTCAAATGCATCAGAAAGGATTCGTTTGTGTTGATGAGTTTCCATCCCATCTGGATTCGACTACAAACGGGGCGCGACGATCATGCCGGCAGTAACACGGGTCGTCCCTTTCACAAGGGCCAAGCGCCTGGAGTCCCGACGGGAGTCTGGAGCTCAAGTGTGGACTCGCAGCTTTCACGATCCGCAGCCGCCAAACCGCTGGCCACTTTTTTCACGATGCCGCCCCTAAAAGGCTCCATTCCGCCCCGAAACGGCAATGGTCCATTTCTAACGTGCACCCAAGCCAAAAACCTTAACCAACGTCTGCCGAAAACATGGGGTGGAAGCACAGGCCACTCACTTTGGTTTCTCTCCCGTCTTCTTCCCGATATTCGATCAAGTTTGTTGTGCTTCGAGATGCTCGGCCACTCGATAACCATAAGCTTCAATATCGACATGACTGAGATCAAGGATACCATCAAGGCCAAGACATACCGCCACAGTTTTAGCTCGCCTCTTTGCCTCGGGCCTGTTCTTGTGGCTCCTCTGCTACGAGTAAGGCACCACAGCTTCGAGACACACAAATATGTATAATCGAGGAAGCGCATCTCGAGGGGAGAGGTCTCGAACCTCGGATACGAATACACAGATGTCGGTAAACACGGTGTGTCTATCAAAAGAACCCTGTTCACCGTATCCCCAGACCCGACAGGCTTGCCACGCGGCTATCAGTCGTGATGCAGGGCGCCACGCATGAACCGTCGACAACCTTAGGTTCGTCAAGCGCCGTTGACTTCTTGGATAGGGACAGTGTGTCCGTCGTTGTCGAAACCCCGTCCGCAAATTTCCATTACTTTCATGGAGGTTTCCATCGCTGCAGGACGGTCTTGCGAGCACGAGCACGTACGAGGCTCTGTCGCAAAGTCGATCCGTTCTGCAGGGATTGAGATGACACCTCTTCCGCATAAAAGCTCCGATCGACCCAAACTAGAATGACAAGTGACAAGTCATCCAGAGAAGCACATGAAGAGCCGATATTGGTATTCGCTCACGTTGTTGCATTCGCCTGGTAGGCTAGTCGTTATTGCCATGCAGCTCTGCAACCTACCCTCACCGGTGTCCACCGCTACGCTTGTCTCGCTGCGGGACAGACAGTGAATGCGTGGCAAGCAATCCAGACAGCTTCTCGATAATTTTTGCCGTCAATTGCACCTAAAAAATCATACTTAGCCACAATCATCACTCTACCTGCTGGCATCATATTGTGCTGGCACCACAGCCCGTGAATCCTTAATAGCATTAGGATTTCAAACTGGCAACTCCAGCAATGCGTTCTTTCTGTCCCCACCCCCAGCTAGAGTGGCAGGGAATGCCTCAAGAAACTGATCATGAGCAATCTCAAGTTGTTCAGAACTTCAGGTAGCAGCCCGCGGA